CACTCTTTCAATCACAGACAAATGTTAGTGAGGATGTGGTGGGAATATAAAATGGAAAAAGATAGTTCGGAAAAAGGCAGTTTCTTTAAAAGTTGAATATAAATATAGCATACAGCCTAGCAATTCTGTGCCTACTACTCACCCAGAGAAATGAAAACATATGTCCACACAAAGAATGACAGACAAATGTTAGAGCAGCATCCTTCCTAATAACCAAAAGGTGGTAACAACCCAAATGTCCATCAACTGGTGAACAGATATAAAAAATGTGGTATATTCTACAATGGAATACTATTCTGGAATTTTAAAAAGGGATGCAAATACAATACTGATATATGCTACAACATGAATGAACCTCAAAAACATTACACTAAATGAAAGAATCCATATACAAAAGAAATGTGTTATTTCAAAGATTCTGCTATAGTATATCTTTAGATATGAAATTGGAACTTCACTGCTCAAATTGTAAAAGTTCTAGACAATTCTTGGAATCTAAGTATCTCATATTACCTGAGCTCATCAGGCCTAAATTTCACATTAATTTCCTTTGAAAGATGAATCTTTGACTCTTTAATTGTATAATAAAAATAATAACACAACAGCAACACAGAGAAAACATGTCTTCTACTAAACCCACTGCACCAGGAAGGACATTCAGTTCTAAAGGCAAGAGGGAGTTCAGTTAGGGATGTTAAGTAACAACTCTGTAAAGACAGAGACTACGCCCTGGCCTGCGGGTCTCACCTGGAGCAGCTCCAGGGTGGAGCTCTGGCTCTTCTCCCCCACCTCGAAGATGAGCTTCTTCATGGAAGCGATCATTTGACGGAGCCGTAACGTGTTCTCATCCTGTTTCTTCTTTGCCTCTTCTTCTTCTCGGCTCAGTCTCTTAAGAAACAATTGCTCTTCTTCAGCCAGGAAGACGTGCAGCTTTGCAAACTCCGCACTGACTCTCGTTCGCGTATTCTTCATCTTCTCCTACAGCCACAGGAGACTGGCTCAGTCCTTGTTCTGCCTGGTCCTTCCTCCTAAATTCCTTGCACATGACTCCCTAACAAGCCATAATCCTTCCATCCAAATCACCTCCTCCAGAAAAGTTCCTGCCCAGCCCCTACAAATTTCCCCTACTCCTTTCTTTACACCTACTTGATATCTTTGTACTAGTCTATATAGTATTAGTTCATTCTTTGTAACATCTAAGTCTCTGCTATGATAGCAATGCCTTGTTTGTATACTTTTTAAACTAAAATGCACTTGCACATCTATTTTTTAATTTAGCCCTCAGATCACCTACCATTTAGTTAAATCTTAGATGTGCATATGTGCGCCCACATCATGCCTCCCAACTAGACTAGCATCTCTGGAAGCAAAGTCCATTTGCCTTCCACAGTGCCATAGACTCAAATCAACTTCAATGTAGGAAGCCAACCTAGGGAGAAAGCAGGAAGGAAAGGAACACTACCCTTGAGATATGAGGATGAAGTGTGTGGGACTCATGTTGCCCAAAGACACAGGTCAGTAGAGGTAGATTCTTCCTGTTCTATCACCTTATCTGAAAGGGGCCTAACAACTGATGAGATCCACAAGCTCTTCCCAGCGAAAGCCCTTGAGCAGCCTCAGACTGAAAGGACTCAAGGGCAAGAAATACCCAACCAACTTCTGCTCTTACCTTCCACTCTGCAGCATTCTTCACTTCCATGTCCTGTAAATGCATGGCTTTATTCATCTTGGCTGTCAGACTACGTTGGGTCTTCAGAAGTTTTTCCTGTCAGCAGAAACACGTATAAGTAAGAAATCATCTCTCCCAGCATCTTCCTTGTTCAAGAGCTAAAAGTCACCTAATTCAAACAGGGGATGAGATTGAGAAAATGCTGAAGGTGACTACAGGCTAATGCATAAGAATTATTCTGGGGCTTCCCTGGTGGTGCAGTGGTTGACAGTCCGCCTGCCAATGCAGGGGACACGGGTTCGTGCCCCGGTCCGGGAAGATCCCACGTGCTGCGGAGCGGCTGGGCCCGTGAGCCATGGCCGCTGAGCCTGACCGTCCGGAGCCTGTGCTCCACAACGGGAGAGGCCACAACAGTGAGAGGCCCGCATACCGCAAAAAAAAAAAAAAAGAATTATTCTGGTCTAAAATCATCATAACACAATATAGAGTATGCCTATTAAATAGACAAAAAATTTAAAATTGTTAGAAGATTAATAAATGCCTAGTCCTGGCAAGGGAAAAGGCCTCTGGCACCATAATAGTAGGAGAGTAAAGGTCCCATCTTTTTGAAGAGCAACTGGCAGGATTTAACAAAATTTAAAATATGCATAATCCTATTTCTAATAATATCCAACAAAACATTAGCAAAAACAATATGTATAGGAATGTTAACTGCAGCATTATTCACTACCCATCAATGTGAAATCATTAAATTATGATATATTGATACTCTACATCAATTTCAGGTAGCTCTCTATATAATTCCATTTTGAAAAGAACAAATATACATGTGTCTGTGCAAGTGTGTGCGTCTGTATCTGAACAGAGGGAAAATCCGGAAGGGTATATACCTAAGTATTATTAACACTGCTTATCTCTGGGGAATAGGAATGGCTTGAAAGTTGGAGGGGGAGGACTAGAAATTTTATAAATCTCTGTTTTGTTTGAATTTCTACAAGAGGCACATATTCTTTTTATAATTAGAAAAAAACAAATAAGCTATTAAAAAAATTGAGTCGATCAGAAGGAACACAGTGGGCTGCAGAGGGGAAGCACCTAACAGCAGAATCTCAGGGATGACCTTAGAGACAGAGGCAGACAGGTTAGAGACACGCACAAATCACTGTCAAATCTGATGTACGTGTGAAGGCTGTCATGAGATAAATAGCTCCTTTGAATGTGACCAAGATTTTTTTTTAAGCTTTCAAATATATTTGAAATAGAACTTTTCAGTTTTTAAAAGCCCTTAACAATTTTCAGTATGTATGAATTTTCCTGTTTCATTACCTAAGCTTTTTTGTATCTTGCCACAGTTGGGCTCTTATAGTGGTCCCCTGAGTAAACTTGGTAACGTTCTGGCATTAGAAAACTTCTTCCCTGCAATAACAGAAACTGCCACGAGGTGGCAGGACGGCAACACAAGCATTTCAAAGCTGGGTAGACACACCAAAGTTTAAAAATCACTCTCTTCATTTAACATCAGACAATTGTGTGTATATAAAACTATAATAAAAGAGCAGACATTTATAGAATGAAGACATTTGCTGACTTATGATCATGTAGTTCAAACGACATGAAACTTCAAATCAGGTCTGAGTTTCAGTCTAGACCTTCACAAACTAGCTATGGATCTGTGGTCAAGTCAGCCTCACACATTTTCTGGGCCACAGCTGCCTTACCTAGAAGATGAAGACAACTAGACTAGATGGTCTTTTCTTAAACACCATCCCAGCACTTAGGTTCTGTGAATTTCAGTCACTATAACCTCTGTATCCAATCCAAGCAGGGTGGTCTACCTCCAAAATACATATCAAATCTGCCTATCTGCCGTCCCCAGCCACCTCCTAGTTCAAGCCACCTCCTGTCTGCACAACTACAATAACCTCATGACTGGGCTCCCTACTTCCAATCTTGTCCTTCTCTTATCCAATGTCCACAGAGAAGCCAGCATAATCTTCGAAAGACCAGTCAGATCACGTCAGTCCCCTGCTTAAGATTCTCCATTGGTTTCCCACATCACTAAGAAAATTCAAACATCTTGCGGTCCGACATAACCCCACTCTTGTCTGCATCTCCCAACTCATCTCGTGCTGCTTTCCCCCTTGCTCGTGATGCTCCAGGTGCATAGATCTTTCAGTTCCATTGATAGGTCCTGCTCTTCCCAGCCTCAGGGTCTTTGAATTTGCTATCTGCTGGGAAGAACTGGGATGTTCTTCCCACAGTTCCTCAGACGGCTGATTCCTCATCCATCAAGTCTCAACTGAAATGTCATCTCCTCAGAGGAGGCTACCGTGTTCCCTTATTAAAGCCCGTGTCACTTCTCTGGCACGGCACTATCTTTCTTTCACAGCACATATCATCATCTGCGGTCATTTACTTGTCCATGGTGTGCCTCTCACCCCCACCCCAGCCAGACTGTAAGCCCCATGGTCTTTTGACCACTGTTTGCCCAGTGCTGAGTCTGGTACTGTAGTACAGCAAGTGACACAAAACGGGTGGTTCAAGAAATACTGAGTATCTGTTAAATGAGTTAATAGCAATGAAGGGATTAGCTCCCAGAGTCACAGACTAAACATTGGCTTGAGGGAAAGAAGAGCTGTGCCTGGAAGCCTTTTCCAGGCAGAGTTTGCTCCCTGAAGCTTAAGACGCTATTCTCTTTCTCTGTTCTCTTTTCCTCTCCAACCACCAATGACTCCATTAAAGACAACTTCTGCTCTGAAAGATTTTTTTGAGATTCCCTCTGTGAAGATACTAAGATCTACGTCCATGATCCTCTATCCTATCTGTACACTAGAATCACCTAGTGAATTTTTAAACAGTGCTGATGCCAAGGGCCTCACCAACTGAATCAAACACTCGCGGGGGTTGGGGGATAGTATTGCTTAAAAGTGCTTCCAGGTGTATCCTGAGCCACTGGTGTGGCCCAAGAGGGTGAGCAGAGTGGACTAGGAATTCATCAAAGCAGGTTTCCTGGATGCAGTACTCAGGGGCTCAGATCCTCAGAGAAAGCATCTAGCACACTGTCTGCAGGACTCAGGTGTGGGCATAGGATGGGGGATATTTTCCATGGATTTAGGGAACTCCAAACTTTTAAGTCACAGTGCACCCACCTGAGTATGCGCTTGCAATAGGATGGTGGAAACAGAATTGCTCCACCCAAGAGCAACTTAATGTTTTTCTAGCTAACTTGGGGTGGTGTGGAGATGGATAAACTGAGCAGCGATGAAGCAGAGGAGGGTGCAGAAAAGGACAGACAACGGGCAATTGTGCCTAATGACCTGACTCTGGAACACCTGGCCAGTCAACCTCATGACATTCAACCCTCCCCAGCGTTACCCTCACCCACTCCCTACCCCATAAATTTTTTCTTTTGGGGGGGGTTTGGGGGGTTTTTTTTGGCCATGCAGTGTAGCATGAGGGATCTTAGTTCCCAGACCAGAGATCGAACCCACGCCCCCTTCAGTGGAAGTGCGGAGTCTTAACCACTGGACCGCCAGGGAAGTCCCATGTATTTTCTCTTCCATTTCTCTGATGCGTCCTTTCAATCTCTTTTGCTGGCTACTAAGCATTGGTGTTTCCCAAGCTTCTCTTCATGCCCCTCTTTCTTTTTACCTTTTATGTGGTCCCTCCAGGAAAATCTAATCAGCTTACTTCTTCCATGACTTCAAGGGTAGGCTGATGATTCTAATCTAAAATACTGTGTTTCTAGCTTCCTATGCCCCCTGCCTCCTGCCCCTCTTCCTTGGACTTCCTGTCACAGTTACTTTACTCTCAACATGTCCCAATGAGCACCAGATACCCAGACTGCCGTCCTAGACTCCTCTCTCTCCCCGACCCATCAGTTCCCATTAGTCACAATGTCATTCAGCTCCAGCTCGTCATAACTCCATGCCCTCCCCTTCTCCATCACCCCTGCCCTGCACTAATTCAGGCCCTTACTGCCTCTTGCTTGAGGTAGTGCAACAGCAGCCCAATTGGTCTTCTCCATTCATCCCGGTGGATGCCACAGTGAACTTTCTAAAACAAAAGAACTGATCGAGTCATCTCCTGCCTTAAAATCCTTCAATGATCCCCATTCCCTGGAAGAGAAAGCTCGGTCTTCTCAGTATGGTCAACAAGATCCTCCACAACATGGACCCTGCCTCTGTCTTCAGCCTCAACTCCCACCATCCTCCTGCCATGTGCTACCCTCCTGAAGCACAGAGCGACCTCTGGTCTTCTTATTTATCACATGCTATTCCACGCTGCCACACTACTGAATATGCTGTTCCCTTGGCCTGAATATCCTCTCCCCTACCTTGCTGTACTCATCCGTCAAGAGTGGACTCATGTTCCACTCCTCTGTGAAGGCGATCCTCACTCCTGTCTGATCACTCTAACCTCAGACCTTCTGTGTGTTGGTACAAACGTCAATAACTCTCACACACACTGAAATTACAGGACTACGTGCTTATGCCCCATACAAGACAAGGCCCATGTCTTTCTCATCCATTTACGTCCAGATTCTAGAACAATGACTAGCATACAGGAAGCACTGATAAACGTTACTGAATAAAAAAGTGAATGTACACTTTCTAGTCTAACTTTGCATGTTTCCTGTTTGTAGTCAGCTGATAAAACTGTACAGCATTTCACAGTTTACAATACACTTTAACTTGTGTCATTAAATTCGTGTTTTCAACAAGTACTTACTAGATACCAATTCAGATGGAGACCACCGGAGTGACACCGTCAGTAATGGAAGGGGGTGGGGCTACTCTGGAAAGGATGATCAAGGAAGGTCTTCAAGCTAAAGTCTAAAAGGATCTAAAGGATGGAAGGTATGAGTAGAGAGTGAACAGGCTTGAAACAAAAGCAAGGAGGCCAGTGTAGCTGGACCAGGAGTATGATAAACCCATTGATTTGACTAAAGCTTCTTAACCCATAAGATAAGGCAGAACAGATAATCTCCAAATTCAAACATTAGGTGATTTTCCCACTTGATGAAGGAAGCTAGTAAAATCCAGACTCATCCCTACAAGCCAGGCTTTTCCCAAATCATTAGCTGTCTATGACATCTGTAGGTATAAACCCGTACTGTCCAATACAGCATCCATTAGCCATGTGAGCTCCTGAAATGTGGAGAGTCTGAACTGATGTGTGTAAATGTAAAGTACACAGATTTCAAAGACCTATCATGAAAAAAAAGGTAAAATATCTCATTGATAATTTTTTATATCAATCAATGTTGAATGTTCATTGCAGCACTATTTACAACAGTCAGAGCATGGAAGCAACCTAAATGTCCATCAACAGAGGAATGGACAAAGAAGATATGGTACATATGTACAATGGACTATTACTCAGCCATAAAAAGGAATGAAATTGTGCCATTTGCAGAGGCATGGATGGACCTAGAGACTGACATACAGAGTGAAGTAAGTCAGAAAGAAAAAAATAAATATCGTATATTATTGCATATATGTGGAATCTAGAAAAATAGTAAAGATGAACTTATTTTCAAAGCAGAAACAGAGGCACAGACGTAGAGAACAAACGTATGGATACCAAGGGGGGAAGGGGGGGGTGGGACGAACTGAGAGATTGGAAATGACATATATACACTACTATGTATAAAATAGATAACTAATGAGAACCTACTGTATAGCACAGGGAACTCTACTCGGTGCTCTGTGGTGACCTAAATGGGAAAGAAATCCAAAAAAGAGGGGACAGATGTATCCGTATAGCTGATTCACTTTGCTGTACAGCAGAACCTAACACAACATTGTAAAGCAACTATACTCCAAAATGTATATATATGTGAAATCACACTATCTGTGCCCGTCCAAGTCAGAGAACAGCTGTAAGAAGAACCTGAGTTCTCCATTTTCTGATTATATTTTGTTTCATTTTCACAATAAAGAGAAAACAGAATGAGCTTTAAGAAAAAAAAATCAATGTTGAACGATATTTTTGATAATTGGGTTAAATAAATTATTAAATTAACATCACCTGTTTCTTTTTACCACTAGAAAAAATTTTAATATGTGGCTCGTATTTTTGTTTCTATTGGACAGCACTGGTGTATAACCTCTCAGGATAACCGTCTTAAACTAGGAGCTCCCGGAAGCCAGTCCCTTGAAAATTCTGCAGTGATGACTGAGCCTTGCACCGGCCCTCCCAATCCGTTTTAACTCCAGCTCTGAGATCCGTGAGTCGCTTAACTTTTCTGAGCCTGGTGGGGGTAGGATGGGAGTTCATGCTTCCAACGTGAACAGTAAACGTTCCCAGGCAATACCGGCAGCCCCGTAAGGGCCGGCTCACCCGGTAGCTCGCGAAGGCCTCGTCGACGGGGGCCATGGTGTGGGCCTGGTGCTCCTGGGACTCCCTGCACACCAAGCACACGAGCCGCTGATCGTCCTCGCAGAAGAGCCGCAGCGGCTCCCAATGGCGGCCGCACAGGCCGTGGGGCGCGGGGCCCAGGCGCCGGCGCCGCATCCTCTCCGTCAGCCTGGCCAGGGCCCAGTTGGGCCGCATCGCAGCGGGCGCCGACGGCTGCCGGCACTCGGGGCAGGGGACCGGGCTGCCGCTCGGCGCCCAGCTGCGGCGCAGGCAGCCGCGGCAGAAGTTGTGGCCGCACTCGATGGACACCGGGTCCTCGAAATAGTCCAGGCAGATGGAGCAGGTCAGCTCCTCCTGGAAATCCTCGGCCTCCATGCTGCTCCTCGGCCCTAGAGCCGGAGTTGTGGTTGGATGAGAGGTCTGCAGGCTGCGGGAGGTGACCTTCGGACCCGCGGCCGCCGCCTCCGGAGGGAAAAGTGCAGCCTCTTCCGGAGTTCGGCACCCAGCGGGGCCGCGCGACCGCCGGGCAGCCGCCCTTTCCCACTCGTGCTGAGGGGGCCGACCCCGCGAACCTCCGGGTTTCCTCGCGAGGACTGCGCGCTAGGCGTGACGAGACTGCGGGCTGCAACTGGACGAACAGTAGAGATGCGGAAGTCCCCCAAGAAGCCTAGAGAGGCCTCGAGGAGCCCTTAGTTCGGGGTACGCGCCCAACTGCGACGACAGCGCAGCTGCAGCAGCTGCTGGTGGAGCCAAACGGTCAGGTGCTAGTTAGCTTGGCCTGACCTTCATGTTTGCGCGGTGAGGTCAGTGTTCGCCGTCCGCTCCGGAAGATTTAGGCTCTGGAGTCCTAGGCGAGCTGCTCCCCAGAAGGGCGTTCCAGGCGGGCAGCAGCCTAGCGGCAGAAGGGCCAGAAGAACGAGGCGCATCTGTGCAGCCTGACCTGGAGTGCGGTTAAGGAGGCGCCATGCCCCGTAGGCTGGCTCTTCTTGAAGTCTCTCCTTTTTCTTTCAGCCTCATTCTCCAGGAGAGGAAGGCGTTCTTGTCCTCCAACCCCAAGGTCTAGTTGAGTTTATAGAAAGGCAGGATTTCTGGCTCCCCACACGAAGCCCACCAACTCGAAGCCCACAAGCTCTCCTGGAGTTCGAGGATTCAGGTGAACTGGAGAGCCAGTTTTCTAAGAGGCGACCAGGGGAGGGAGTGTTTAGCCCCACGACCTAGTGGGGAGCTGTCTGATCACTCTGCGCTCTGATTTCCCCCTCTTTCTTCCCCAGCACAAGAGACACACCAGGTAGAGGAATCCCATTCTTAGAGCAGAGGCCTCACTCACCCAGTGCAGATAGAGGGTCTAATAATTAAGTTAGGGGAAAGGATCTAGGGTTAGATGGTCTTCCCCAGGTTTGAGACTTCCCACCAGTACTTTAGGTGGTTCAGTGCGGAGGAGGACTGTGGGCTAAAGGATGCTCTAAGCCAGCTCTGGGTGATCTGCTGTGAGCGGCTGTCATCCTATATGCTGGGAAGGAGCAGATCCTGTAGCTGCTGGTGCTGGAGCAGTTCCTGACCGTCCTACCTGAGAAGGTCAGGGTGTGAGAGCAGTACCTGGAGAGTGGAGCTGAAGCTGTAGCTGTTCTGAGGACATTGTGAAAAAACTGATAGGACCGGGAGAGCAGTGGGAAGGAAATCAGGTGTTTTAAGTTAAGATTCAGAAGCACATATGCATTGCCTTTTGGTACCCAACTTGAAGACGGCAACCGTTTTGCTATCCCAAGGCACATCCATTGAGGTTTTCAACAAGCAGTGTGCTTGCCTGTTTCAGGGAATTATCTGTTCCTCGTCAATGGATTTTTGAGCTTGTGTTTCTGAGGTGCTTGGTTTTTTATTCTTCCCTCTATTCCTTTTCTTATGAAAGAAATTTTTAATTCTTCCTGTGTCCCAAAATCAGATACCACCTTTCCTGTAATATGCTCTGTAAGTGGTCACTGAATGTATGATTAAATGATTTGGAAAGGGGGTTCCTGCGATCACTATTTTGGGGTTTTGGTGAAAGTTCCACAGAATGTCTTTAAATGTTTACAACAGATAGCTGCGTTTTCCTTGTAAATTGGAATACTATCTTGAGAAGGAATCTGAGGGCATTCCCTGGCAGTCCAGTGGTTAGGACTCCGTGCTACCACTGCAGGGGACCTGGGTTCGATCCCTGGTCCCTGGTTGGGGGAACTAAGATCCCACGTCTCGCAAGCCACACAGTGCGGCCAAAAGAGAAAAGAGAGAGAGAGAGAGAGAGAGAGAGAAGGAATCTGAGTCTTAAATATGGACCAAGCAGAATGAAGTGCTCTTATCAGTTACTGATGTTTGCCATGAGTATCTGTGGTGTGAGTGTCTATGTATCTGTATGTCTGCCTTTGTATTGAGCTATATCTCCTTAATGTCTTTGTGTCTTCAATCCTGCCATACTCCTGAAATGGACATCCTTCTTTACTGAAAATATTGAGGCTCCCTGATTTATAATTTTATTCATATGGAATTCCAGGGGATCCCAATTGGCCAAACAATCTTGAAAAAGAAGAACAAACTAGGAGTACTCACACTTCCCAATTTCAAACATTATTACAAAGCTGCAGTAATCAAAACATGGTACTGCTATAAGGATGGACACGTAGATCAATGGAATCGAATTGAGAGTGCAAAAACAATGCCATACATCTACAAGCAATTGATTTTCAACAATGGTGCCAAAAATAGGGAAAATAGGCCTTTCAACAAATGGTGCTGGGACAACTGGATATCTCCATGCAAAAGAATGAAGTTGGACCCTTATCTCATACCATATACAAAAATTAATTCAAAATCAAAGACCTAAATGTAAAGCTAAAACTATAAAATTTTTAGAAGGAAACATAGGTCTAATCTTCATAGTCATGGATTAGGCAATGGTTTCTTAACTATAACACCAAAATCATAAGCAACAAAAGAAAAAATTGATAAACTGGATTTCATCAAGATTAAAACCTTTTGTGCATCAAAGGACACTCAATAAAGTGAAAGACCACCCACTGAATGGGAGAAAATATTTGGAATATCAGATGCTTAAATCTGATAAGGATCTAGTATCCAGAATATATGAAGAACTCAACAATAAAAATACAAACAGCCCAATTTTAAAATGGACAGATTTGAGTAGACATTTCCCCAGAGAAGCTATACAAATGGCCAATAAGCACATGAAAAGATGCTCAACATCATTAGTCATTAGGGAAGTGCAAATCAAAACCACAATGAAATATCACTTCACCCACTAGGATGGCTAGAATTTAAAAATCAAACGAACAGAGAAAAATAAAAACAGAAAATACCAAGTGTTGGCAAGGATGCAGATTAAATTGGAATCCATTTGTACATTGCTGCTGGGAATATGAAATAGTAAATAGTACAGCTGCTGGGGGAAAAAGGTTGGGAGTTCCTCAAAAATTTAAACAAAGTGTTACCATATGCCACAGCAATTTCACTCCTAGGTATTTACCCAAGAGAACTGAAAACATAAACAGAAACTAGTACATGAATGTTCATAGCACCATTATTCATAATAGCCCAAAAGTGGAAACAATCCAAATGTCCAGCTGAAAAATGAGTAAATAAAATGTGGTATAGGCATACAATGAAATAATAATCATAAAAGGAATGAGGTACTGATACATGCTACAACATGGATGAACCTTGATAACATGATGCTAAGTGAAAGAAGCCAGTCACAAAAGACCACATACTGTATGATTCCATTTGTATGAAAAGCCCAGCCTAGGAAAATCTGTAAAGACAGAAAGTAGATTAGTGGTTGCTTATGTTTGGGGGTGTGGGGATTTGCGGGTAACAGCTAAGCACTATAGGGTTTCTTTTTGAATTGCTGAAAATTTTCTAAAATTGTGTTAATGGATACACAACTCTGACTATACCAAAAGCCATTGAGGGCTTCCCTGGTGGCGCAGTGGTTAAGAATCCGCCTGCCAGTGCAGGGGACACGGGTTCGAGCCCTGGCCCGGGAAGATCCCACATGCCATGGAGCAACTAAGCCCGTGTGCCACAACTACAGAGCCTACGCTCTAGAGCCCGCATGCCACAACTACTGAAGCCCGCGCGCCTAGAGCTCGTGCTCCACAACAAGAGACACTGCAATGAGAAGTCCGCGCACAACGAAGAGTACCCCCTGCTCGCCACAACTAGAAAGTCCACGCACAGCAACAAAGACCCAGCGCAGCCATAAATAAATAAATTTATTAAAAGCCATTGAATTATATACTTTTAATGGGTGAATTATAGGGTGTGTGAACCATATGTCAATAAAGCTATTTTAGGGACTTCCCTGGTGGGGCAGTGGATAAGAATTCGCCTGCCAATGCAGGGGACACGGGTTCGAGCCCTGGTCTGGGAAGATCTCACATGCCACGGAGCAACTAAGCCCGTGTGCCACAACTACTGAGCCTGTGCTCTAGAGCCCGTGCGCCACAACTACTGAAGCCTGCGTGCCTAGAGCCCGTGCTCCGCAACAAGAGAAGCCACCGCAATGAGAAGCCTGCGCACCACAGCAAAGAGTAGACCCCGCTCACCGCAACTAAAGAAAGCCTGCGCACAGCAACAAAGACCCAACGCAACTATAAATAAATAAACTTATTTAAAATAAATTAATTAAAAAATAAAGCTATTTTAAAAGGGGCACCATCAAGGAGGAATTCAGAATGATGACATTTGCTTTTTTTCTTTCTGTCCTTGGGTCACTTGGCTGGGCTCTGGCTATGCTAGATACGGGATTCTTTATGAAACACTGTGTAGCAGAAAGAAAACTGTTACTTTGCTAGTTGTTGCCAAAGTGTCTTTGGGGAATCAAGTATCTTTCCTTAGGAATGAGCCTTCCTAATTTACTTGGGGATCATCTGAGATTCAGAGGAGACAACCAAACCTGGAAACTGCTCTTTGTTGAGAATTTGAGGGCAAGGAAGAACTGAGAAGGGAAGTGTTTCTGCAGAAAAGGTGGGAGGCTAGGATGCTTTGGGACAGAAATGACTGAGAGACTCAAGAAAAGAGAAGCCTGATATTCAGCATTAGATGATCTGCTGAATCACACTGTGATATAAATGTCCCTTACTGTTAGCCCTGAATCAGCAATAAAACTCTGCGGTCTTTTCTGTGTGATACTTAGAAGTATGAGTTTAAAAAGTAACGACTTGGCCCCTCCCCCCCCCATATGAAACAATGGAGCAGCTGCAACGTGCAAAGCAGAGAATGAGGATTGAGCAGAAATCAGATCTGTCAGTGGTCCAGGGTATGTAAGCCTCTGAATTCACAGGAATCTTCCAGAAGAGTGTGGCTGAGTGTTTGAATACATTGAATCTATATATTAAAAGACCCTGGGTTACATATGCTTGGAAAGCCAGAGTTTCTGAATATGACCTATGTTGCAGGGCTGGGTGCATTTATAGGTTACAAGAGTTTAAAGGTGGGGGGAGCAGAGAATGTGGACAGCAGGAAAGAGGAGTAGACTCATTGAGACAGGAAAGAGGATTGTCCT